GCTTATCTTGTAAGATAAGAGGGCTCTTCGCGTAATGAGTGCTTCTTTGTTTGGAGTTCCATCCACGTTGAAGACGGGGATGGGTCGGGGGAGAGGTTCTGTCCGAAGTCGATGTTCTCGGACGAATCTCGGGCTGATGAAGATTCCTGTTGCGCCGCTATCGATGAAAGCGCGCGCCTCGACGTCTTTTCGTCCCACAGTAATCGGAATGTGCAGAGCGCGTTCATTTCGGACTACTAAAATTACACGGGACAGTGAAACGGATACGGGCAGTGGTTGCGTCGGCTCACCCTGCCCCTTCAAAAATCCTCCATCGTGAGTTCTTCATACAGCTCCCGCTTTTCGTCAGCGGAGAGTGTCTTGATTCTGGCGCGGAAGTCGTCCTTCCCGGATCCTCCCTGGTTCGTCCTTCCACCCCCTTGTCGTGCGGCCGCTTTCTTGCGGCAATCCTTGGCGCTGTGGCCCTTGATGTGGCAGTAGAAGCACAGGTTTCCATCCCTGTGGAGCTTCCGATCGGCCTCATTGAGAACGGCTCCTAGTTCCCACTTCCTTCCTCCCGATGTGGAGGCAAAGGTTGCCGCGACTGCAGCGGCGTCGATATCCATTGGCTCGCCGTAGTCCCTGGTGTCTGTGACGGTGAGGGCCCCTTGTTCGGCGGCGTCGGCATTTCGGACTTCGTCGTACCAGGCTTTCATGGTGTTGGGTCGGTCTCTAGCGACCCTAGTTGCGAGAGAGACGTAGAGCTCTTTCGGAAGTCCTTTGACGAAGTTGGCGTGGAGAGTGTGGTAGTCGTTCTCGGTGCGGTTGACGCCATTGACTTCGGCGTCCTTGAGCTGGGCTTTCGATGCTAGCTGCTCAAAGCGGGTGACGTAGTTTCCGAGGGAGAGCACCGTCTTCTTGTTCTTTTGTCGTTCGGGCAGCTTCATCAGGATTTGGTGTGCCTTGATTCGCGTTCCGTGCTCGGGAAACGCTTCCTCAAGGGCAGTGGCGAAGGCTGCCCAATCGGGATAGACCTGGACTCCCCCTGCCGACTTCTCGTAGTATGCGTCTGCCCATGTCTTCCCTAGGTCCTTCCTCATCAACGCTACAGTGAAGGCAATCTTTGCTTCATCGCTAAGTCTGGTGTTGTTGGTGGCGACGAAGTAGGAGAGGATGCATTGGATGAAGCGTCTGAGGTCCTCCGCCTTTCCGCTGAAAGGTTTGGGAGCGGGGATGTCAAGGCGAAGGGGTCGGTTGGCAGTTGACTGTTGGGATTGGTATGCTGCGAGGGCAACAGCGATGCGCTGGTCAATGTCTGCTTGAGTGAACGTTGCCATAGGGACTTCAACCGGTGCGTTGGTTGGTGCAGGTGGAGCTGGTGGTAGTTCTGGAGCCTCGATGGGAACGTACTGAACGTCCGGGAGCTCAAACGGTTGTTCGTTAACAGGTGACTGTAGGTTCTCTGTTGTTTGTGCTGGTTCGACGTTGATTCGTAGGATGGCGAATACGTCTTCTGGGTGAGCGGGAGGGTGTCTCTGGTAATAGCTGACAAGCTGTTGATGGGCGACGATCTGCGGGTTGGAACCTTCTGCGCGAACCCAAGAGCCGCCTCGAGGATAGATGGGAGTCCTTCTTGTGGTGGTGACGAAGCAACGGTCTGCTCGGTCGTACTGGAGAAGGGGAGATCCTGTGAGGGCTGGTAGTCCCAAGGGAACCGGGTTTACTGCGTTGTTCGACGTGATGGTGGATGAGTTGTTCGACTAGGTGAAACTAGGAACGTAGCTTAGAAAGTTCGACCTTTTGATACAACGGTCTACACTCCTATATTGATGCCTGACTTGTAGATGACGAGCGAGGGCTTATGGACAGTGCGTCGTCCTGAAGATCGAGCGAGGAAGTCGAGAATGACCACTACCCCAAGCGAAGAGGAGCAGAGACTTGAATGAATAACCAGGTCGAACTTAGGGTTCGACCGACTAATGGTACAACTACTTATACAAGTACCGACTGCGCACGGACCATCGTGTCTATGTGGTCGTGTTAGTGAAGAAAGAAACGTAGTGGTACGATACCAGGCACGAAGTGCGCACGGACCCCATTATGTAAGCTACATAATGTTCAACCTGCGGGTGAGCGCTAAGACAGGCGCCAGTATGGGCGCTAGTAGTACAAGGAATAGAACGGAAAGACAAATG